GCATAACTGCATTCCTGTATTCTAAATATTTGACTTCAAAATTTGCATTGAGCTCTATATGTACTATTATTCTTGGCTGACGCAGCTATTAACCATTGGTTTTTCTTAGTTTTTAGGTTGTCGATTTCATGAACTCTTACAGTTTATTATCATTTTATCTTTACATATAGCAAGCCTTTTCCCTTTCCTGCAAACTTATAGATAATCTGATCACAACATTGTGTATTCTTATTGGAGATTAGCTTTTGGTTTTTGTAGAATGTCTGCTTCTAAAGAAATGAAAATGAACCTGTAATTGCCATATATTCATTTTACTCGAAGGTACGATGTATTTGACCGCCTGACAAGGCATGGTCTGTTTGTTGAGCAACAGTGAAGAAATCTACATTGATCCATATTAGCCTTAAGTTCTTGAATGTTCTGGTCGAATTTAGGAAGCCAAAATGCCAAACAGTTTGTTGAATTTCTTAAAGCAGCAGTATTGATTGCAATGAGTGACCTTTTACTGTGTTTTCTCTTATAGGCCCTTCAGCATGCCTGCATTGCATGTTCACTGAAGCTGTCGATTGAGTGGATTGCAGCTTCAGATCTTGAACCTGGCGTGTTTATGCTTCCTTGAGGAAAAGGTGTTTAGTAGCCTTTGGAGCGTGGTATATGTAAATTTACTTATTTTTTATTCATCTCCATTTGAGATGCAAATTGTCCTTTCTGCCATGACATTGAAAGAAACCATTGTTTCTATCATTATTCTTTTTGTTAACGTTAGAAACGTAGTGTGATCCCATGTCTAGACTTAAATGGGATTGTTTAGCTTGTATGAGTGGATCATTTCTTATTCCGACTGCAAGAATGAGGTAAAATGGTGTTAGGTAACTCTCATGTTCATTGATTTGTTTTTTTATTCATTCTCAGGAAGCTGCTGGAATTTTAGTACATGGTGGATTTGGGGACCATGGTGTCCAGATATGCAAGGGAGAAGAATGTTCTTGAACTGCCTCAGGTATATATTTTTTGGACTATTTCGATATTTTTGTCGGCTATGTTCTGCTCTGGTTATGTTAACTTTTAAGATCCCTGAATTTCAGCCTACTATTATTTTTTCCATTTTAATGCATATTGTCGCTTTTAAAAGATTGTCTTATGCTCTCCTCTGTTTTAATTTGTGTTGGTGCGAAAGTTGATATAATATCTCTACTTGCAGAAACTTTTATCTCATTCCCTCTCATGGTTGTTCAAGTTCAGAAAGCTATTGAAAAATACAAGTTAGTTTCCTCATCCTTGTACCCTGAGGGTTTTGGTCTTTTACTACCAGACTACAAGTGCAATATCAATTAAGCAATGCCTTTGGCAATGTCAATTTTGGTTGCAACTGATTAGGAAGATGATAAGATGGTCATGTTATTGTTTCCGCCATCTTGAGTTTAGCTATTGAGTTTTACTAAACTCTTTTTTGGTCAAAATGATGCAGCTGATTTTTTGCTCTGACTAATTTCAAATCGATGCAGATTTTCTAGTCATTATTTTGAAGTATGAATCTTGCAAGATTATTACAATCACTGTGAGATATCCAAAAGCCGACCAGCCGCTATAAGTCACAACAATCAATCGTATGTCACACTTTGGACTTCGCATCGATTCACTTTCTATTACCTTTAATTTCCTGTATAAAATCATCAGTGGTGCAACTGATGTAATTTCATTGCAAAACGGCAGGGAAACTGATCCATTGAGGATTATGACCAGTGTCGGTTAGACTATTTTTTTCAAGCAAGCACAAGGGGATTACTAATGGACAGTCAGGATATATATTCATGTTAGTTTCCGCTCCATTTTCGCTTTAATTTTACGTCCTTTCTAGCATTTTGGTTTTTTTTAGCACAAGAATGATTGAGTTTATCCTCCGGTATATTTATTCTTTATCATTTGAACAAGAAGTTAGGTGAACCTTTCTGAATGTTACCTGCCATTAACATGGCGAAGTATTTGCACTTTTCCGGACATAACTCCATGGAAGTTGCCCAGTTACCAAAGGGGAAAAATGGATTGCTACAATGTGGATCTGAGATCAAGAACAAGAAGACTACTAGATGCCAAAAAGCAATTAACAAGTTTTCATTCTGCAATTCCAAGAATGTTCAAGATTCAGAAGCCAAGGCAAAGCTAGCCTTCATGACCTAACTGATAATTTATGTATTAAGTTTTGACTAGCTCTTTAGTTATTTTTTTTTTTTTGTTGAGTACTTTGGCTAAAGTAAATCATGGAGAATTTTATTGCGAGATTAATCAAATGATGATATTTGTGTTTTCATTCCAAGTAGTTGCGTTGTGATCAACTATTTTCAATTTCAAGGTAGATTTTGAATGTTTTTTTAATATTCAGTGTAAGTTTTGTCTCTTAGCATACCTAAAGGAAAAGTAATTGTTGTCTTTGTTTACTTATTAGAAATTTTATTTCCAAAATAAATTCTAATACCGTGCGGGAAGAAATGGATGGGAGATTGTTTGTGAATAGGGTAAGAAATGTGGAGCAAATTGTGTCAATCTTGAAGCAGGAGACACAGCGGAGAATAGAGCAGTGCTTCTAAGGACGGAAATCAGAGAATGAAAAAGCTATTTGGATAAACTGTTTTTTTAGTACATAATGTATAGGGTAGCCGTTCTTTAATAGAGCATACATGTTATAGAGTAGTTTTTTTACATAGTGATTAGGAAACATGTAGCAATAATAATTCTCTGCCAACTTACATCTATTCTCGAGTTTTTGTGTATTTTGATTATCGCCAAATTACAAAGAACTACAGTATACTTGTAATTTAGCTTTGGGCAATGTAAAAAACTCACTACATTAATAATAACTATTAATAATAACTATTAATAATAATTATACATTTATGATAAATTATTTTTGTATACGGAATACATCGGTGCATTAAAATTTGAAGAACTCCATTGATTGGAAGGTGATGTTTTGTTAATTCTATGGATAGTGTTTTTTGGTTAGTTTTCATGTATACACTTTTCATCCTGAATAAAAATCTTGGTAATTTTTATTTAAAATAATGAAAATAAAAATGTAATTTGGTACTTTGGAATAGAAGGTAGGTCTACAGCAGTAATTAATGTGATAAATAAAACTAATAAAAATGCATATAGAAATAAGGATATGACATAGGTGATTAAAAGAAAAGAATGAAGAGTGAAAAAAATAAGTAATAGAATATTTTTTTGTTAAGCATAAATTATTTAAAATATTTAAATAACGAGAAAAAAAAGTCAATGTCCGTTTAAATGATTTCATTTTTCGGATGCCCTTAACTAATTTTTTATTCATTTTCCAGTAATTATTCAAATTTCTAATTATAAGTACTTTTAATTTGGGGTTTTGAGCTATTTTTCAAACATCTGATAATACGAATGCTGCAAATTGATCAGGAAACAAGTTGCAATGATAAATGGTTACCTACTTACATCTACTATCGAGTTCTTCTGTGTTGTGATTATTGCCAAAATACAAAAAAACTGCAGCACTATGCTACCAAGTACCTAAGATATGTAATTTATTGTTGAAGTACTAAAAATTTAGTAAAAGGGTTCAACCACCCAAGATTAGGGGTATATTTTCGAATATTGTATCATGTGCTTACTACGAACTAAAGTCGGATGTATGTATGCTAAGCGACTTTTTGGGCAAGCATGTCAAAGGCGTGTTGGTTGTAATTAATTTGAAAATTGTACTTCCACATCCATTGATGAGAAGTATGTCTACGAGATGTAATTCTAGAAGGGTTATTTGTTGAAAAAAATATACTTTGGCCAATAAATAAAATCATTAACAAGAATGAAAATGACCTTGGTAAACAGATTATGCTTTCCTTTGTCAAAGTGAATGAGACTTTTATTACTATGGAAGCTCCTCATTGTCCATTTTGGCATAGTTATGATTTTTCTGGCAACTATTATGTCGAAATACTGAATTTGTCCTGCACCCAATAGAATTAAAGTTGTTGCCAATATGTAGCACTATTTTTTGTTCTACAGCTATTTTTCTTCATTTGCGAAGTTATATGTACAATACATTTCTAAATTGAAATAGCACCCCTAAATTTTGTTGTCATTCAAAACCTAGAATAATTATTAGTTTCGCTTATTCAATGCATCAAACATCTTGAAGTAAATTTTTTAACACGTTAATTTGAGTTGTTAATTAACTCAAAAACAATTTCGTCCAGTTTTTAAATACATTAAACACTTTAAAATATGTTCTTATATCAATGACGTCGGTTGAACACATAAAAAAAAAATAGATAGGGAGCCCGTGATTCCACGGGGTGTATCTAGTAGAATAGTGAACAAAGAACCGAAAAATCGCCAAACCATATGGTATCCCGCCAACAGTGTAGTATGTTATTGTACTACTAAGACAGACCAGGAAGCTGAGGCATACAAAATTTACAATGCACCAAAAAAGGAAGGAAGGGAAAAAAAAAATCATATTGAAGCCATGAAGGAAATAAATCTACCTTATTGGAGCATTTCTATTTTCTAAAAGGGGCTGTCTCTCCCTCTTTTTTTTGTTTTGTTTTGATTCACTCACTACTATGATTACTGCTGAGGATGGCTTTGATATTGTTAATCCTTAACAGTAGTACTCTATTTCATATTAAACTAATTTTTGTTAATCATAACTAATTAATATTGAATTTTGTATGTTTCTACACCTTATAAATAGAATCGAAGGAGTACATCTAATGAGTTAATGTAGACTGGTATAATCTAAAATATTAAGTGAACTGATAAAGAGGAAAAATGTATTACTGAAAGTCCCACTCTGTGCGGTATAATATTAAGGATAAGAGAAATAAACATATTCAAATTAACAATCATTTTGGAACAAGAACAAATTTCTTTTTGTTGTCTCCTCCTCTAATTATACTAATTATGAATCACTTTTGGGGTCATTTGTCACGTGACTAATATAGAGTTCAGAAGGATTAGGGGAGAATTGGAAGAAGAAGAAGAAGAAAGATCGGAGAGATGAGAAGTTGCGGGAGAAAAAGAGATTAGGAAGGAAGAGATTTCAGATAATTTTTCATTAATTCCATAATTTCCTTCACTAACAGAAACATCGTAAAAAGGCGAGATGTCAATGGTTAGTTATTTTCATTTCTGGAATATTTCCCGTGACAAAGAATCCCACCTTATTGAAAAACCATTACTATTCACAATCACATTATGATTACTTAAGGCATTGACATTGTTACTCCACGAAAGCAGCAGTACTCTATTAGTTTCATGGCAGAATTCTTCTGGATTGATGATTGGTAAGGTGAATAACAGAGACGAGTTGTTTGTTACTCCACCCCATATTGTGAATCTCATTCAACTTGCAGCTGCTAAATAGAAAAGGTGCTCCAACTCGAAGGAAAGTTGCTCAGCCTTCTCTGCCAATAGCATCGTCGCTAACCATCCATTACTGGAGTCACACCCTGCAGAGAAAGCTTAGATCATCCTCTAAAACCTTTCAACCTGCTGCTTCTGAGTTCATTTGAATGTGTTCAATTTCCCCCACCAAAACTCATGTCCTTTATTTCTCAGAATTTAGGGCGTTCAAGGAGAACAACGTACTCCACTTCTTTCAAATCTTCTGTACATTAGACTTCCTATCCATTTCTTGTTCCTGTTTTGCATCCGACTCAAATGAATGTCTCCCTTGATCTTACTTTGAAGGTTATTTTCCTAATCCTTTCTCCAACAATGATCCCGATAACCTAATTAATCCAAATGTGCAAGCTTTAACTTTGATTTATTAGGACGTTTTGACCAGTTAAGTTGCCGTCTCCACTTCAAGAATATCATCATCTGTAGAATCAAAGTTACTGTTGTTCGTGTTTTTGCAATTAGCCGCGGATCGATTCAGTCTCCTACTTTTCAAAATAGCCTCTGATTCCTTCATCAAATCAATGTACTTCTTCCTGACACTTGCAAGCGGGTGGGCTTCAATAGATGAATTATCACAATAAGCTTCTTTAAGAATAGCAGTGCAAGTCTTGTTCTTCATAGATAAGTAAAATATGTGAGGATGCCTTTCAAATGCCTTATGAAGTTTTTGTGGGAACTCCAAATACTTCCTTAAACACAAGAGCCTCTTTCTCTCGGCAGCATGTTCAACAAACAAACCAAGCAACTCATGAAGCATACCAACAACCCTCTTCTCCGACAAATCACTATCCTTTTTCAAATTCTGGCAATCCTCGTAAGGGGACAAATATGGAAGTCTCTGAAACTCATCCAACCAATCCAAAATCTTTCTCCTTAACCTCAAACCTTTTGATGGAAACAAAGGAAATGCAATTGCATTCCTTTCACCAATATTATAGCCGCCTCGCTTCATAGCGTTCTTTTCCATAATAGACATCAGTTTTTCATCATTCCAACAGTTCTCAACAATAGCCAGTCCTTTCAATCGATCTCCCATATCCACCATCTGGAAATACCCATCAAGATGTGTTTCAGGATCCTTCAGAAACTCATCAGGCAGCCCTAGATACCATTGCAATCCCTGAATTGTCTTCAAAGGCAGCATTTTTCTGTCCCCAACACACATCAAAATCAACTTCCTCAACCTCAAAAGTATTTCAAATTTATACTCCCTATAAACTTCTCTCTCTTCTCTATGAAGTTCAATAGCTTTCTGGGTCAGCCTAAACCAGGGCAAATTGTGCTTGGGACCTTCGAACTCCTCAAAGAAAGAAGGGTATTTTCTCAAACACCTTGCAACCTTGATGGGTATCCCCAATTGCAAGCCTTTCTTGGAGACATCCGAAATGGGTATGCAATAGTCTTGTGGAGAGGCAGAGACAATGCAATTCTTCAGAGCAATTAGAGGTTTCAACTCAATTGATCTGTGAATGGACTCAATTGAATCAAAGAATGAATCTTTCTTCCATTTCATGTAGACATCTACGTAAGCACGCCTTTGTATGAGGGAAAAAGCTGGATTGTCCGGACAGATGAAAAGGAATCTTTGCAGGAGACTTCTGCAAACGCCACTGTGACCCAAATTCATCTTGCAATCAAACTTGGCAAATTTTGTGATTGTACACTCCCGCTTAATCCAGAGCTGGTATCATCGGTTTAGCGCGTTGAGCCGTCGGAAGTTAGCACTCCAGCAAGGGTCCGGCTGGGAGAGATGATCGCGAAGACAATACCTGCTTCTAATTAGAATAAAACTTTGTTACAAATCCAAACTGAATTGTCCAAGTTTCAATAACTTTACTAGCTCTTTATGTGGTTTTGTTGTACTCTGTAACCTTTCGTCGCCTTTTTGAGATGAACTAGGTATTGGGGACCGCACAAGGTGCGATCTAACCCGGAGAAGTTGTAACCCTTAATAAAAAGCTGATATACCAACGACAAATAATCCTAAAAAGAAATTCAGAGCAAAGTAGAAAGGCATTCTTATGTAAGCCTGAAGTCATATACCTTATATGCGAACATCCGAACTCAAACTAATCTCTAGTACGAACTAAAAAATGCACCCTGTTCTATTACAAACTCTGTCTAAGCATGCAACTATTCAAACCCCAGCAACCACTAATTCACTGTTTTCTAATCACGCATATTGTACTAAATTATAATGCTCCGCAAAGGAATATGTATATGGCTTACCTTTTATCACTTCAGCTTACAACGCATCAAATCAAACATAGATTTTTAATTTTTTTAATTTTTTTTTTTTATCAATTTTAAACAACATATTTAGGATCTCACAGTTCACTTCTATGACAATTAAGATCTAAATTTGTATACTGTATTCGCCCAGCACCGGTGCACTGTGAACTTTCTAGGTCAACCTCTGTTTTTTTTCCCTTTCAACCGGTTAGAATTTTGCGGTCAGATGCTGGAGATTGTGATTGTTGAAGGAGGAGTAAGGAGGGACTGGAGGGAAAGGTAAAGGGCCAACAAGGAAGGAAGTAGCCGGCAATTAATATTTAAACTTCGTTTTCGTGTGGGCAAAGAACCAGAAAACCTGTAAATTTAAATTGAAGTGTGCAAAATGTGCACTCTAGATTGAGCTAATTCTTGCTTCTCAATAAGGCTCCGATAAAATTTGGGCATAAAAGCACAAACAAAATATATTTAACAATTGAGCTAGGCATAAAATCAAACACCTATTATGCAATGAACGCACCTACTGCAAATGTAAACCCAAATAATGCAACAAATGAAATCAATAGTAAAGGAAATGAATTGCAAGATAGTTGAAACTAAAAAACACGAAAACATGAATTCATCAAACAGAACCTGCATCGCCAAACACGCGCATACATGTCAGAAGGAACTTTTATCGTACTCAATTTTGGAGAGACGGGATGGATTGGGGGGGAATTTTCAGTGTTGACTAGTTAACAATTGTCGACGTACCTTCTGGGGCGAAGAATGATTTTTTGGAAATTATACCACACTCCCTCTATTTGGAATGAAGGAGATAGCAAATTGAAGAATATTATTGTATTCAGAATTTATACATGGAAATAATTTAGATTTTAAACACATCATTTTCATGTAATTTTCCTTGAAATTTTGTTATCTCCCTCCATTCCAAAATAAGTATCATTTTAGAGTTTACACACAGTTTAAGAAACATTTAAATAGGGTAGCTAAATTACTAAAATATCTTCAACTAACCCCATTAAAATAAATGTTCACCAATAATATTATTTCTTTTGAGAGTATGTTTGGAAATTTTTGACAAAAAATGCATTGAAATCCGAAAACGACACTTATTTTGAAATTTCTCTATTTTGCTAAAACGACACTTATTTTGGAATGGAAGGAGTATCTCACTATTTAGTTAAGAATATTATTGCAAAAAAAAAAAAAAATCCTCGTAGGTCCATAATGATTGTTATATTTGTTCCATAATAGTTGTTATGCTTATTGTAATTCGGAGGGAGGATAATTACTTTTTGGTTAATGCTTAAAGCAAGTCAACTTCTGCAATTACAACTTTACAAGCAAGAAAAGGTCATATTTGAACATGATCTTTTGCATTGGGAGCTCTTGTAACCAACCCATTAAAGGAGCGAACATGATCATTACGATTCAAGAAGGAAAGGTCATATTTGAAACAAGAGCTTTTACATTAAATATTTTTCCCCACAGACTACAAGCAGACAAAGCAAGACAAGATCACGCTTCACAACATTAACTCCGTCTGGAATGTACACCATCTCAAACCGCTACGGGCGCTATCTATGAATCTTCAGCATCATCACTCATGCTTGGGCGAGTGTCGATGAAAAATTCCGAATCCAAACCATCCACAATCCTTCCTCTGTTTGACATACATGTACAATGGAAACGGAGGGTTGAGAAAGCACAGACAGGAGAAATGGGAGAGCAAAGTAAAATAAGCAGCGTTTCGACCACCTGGAAGAGAGGTTTACCTTTCAAGTACAAATTTTCCCTCCTTGTATTTCTGACTTTTCTCATGTGCAGCTTCCTGGCATAACAAAATAATCGCTTTCCAGTATTAGAGTGATGTGGAAATAGGAGTAATGTGAAGTCAGCAAGGGGGTGTGGAAGCAAATAGAAGAGATTACATATTTCCATCCAACTATTTGGCCACAGCAGCAGCAAAATATATCAGCAACCGTGTGCATTCCAGAGAGCATCAATCTCTCCTCATGGGGTCCGATTGTTATATTCACACTGCAAGATAAAAAATAACACAAGGGAAAATGTCGCATATAGCTTCTGAAAGTAGGGAAAATCACCACACAATTCTATATTGCATAGAGTGAATATTTACTAATGCATCTGTGCAGAAAATACTTATGACAGACTGAATCAAATTTTTTGGTTGAAAGGTTACAAGCAATCACTACGGTCTAATTCTACTATGTTAAGATTTCTTCTGTTCGGGGGATATTCAAAAGATTCAGAATAACTAGGTTGCCACTAATGCGTTTTTCTTTCTAGAAGTTACATCTAAAACCAAAACATAGAGTAACCAGAATGAGGACCTCCAGGTTTTTGGTTCAAGACTTGGCCAGTACTCAAGAAGAAAGCTCAGACTGCTAAACTCTAATGAATACGTCAGTGCCACAACCCCAAGAACAGAATAAAGCACAATAAGAAAACCAGAAAAGAAACTCACGCTTTATTGAAGAGGTATGCTTTTCCTCTACGACAATGAAATGCCTGCTCAGTGCTCAGTACAAAAACAAACCATCCATATCATTTCAAGTGAGGCAATGTAGACAATTTTTGTAACAGCCATATGAAAGCTAAAATCCCAGAGCTGAAGTACAACATATAGCAAGAATCATGTATAATTAATCTTCTGTCTGAAAAAAAGCAGATACTAAAAGGTGAACTAAGTTAAAAACTTGTGCAGCTGTGCTACTGAAATAGAACCGTAGAGGAATGCAATCCAGAACTCGATAAGAAATTAAATGGCTTTTCAAGCAGAGGCATTAAACCCGAATAATCTCATTAGAATCAACACCAAAGAATGCTCCAAGAAACAATTTTTACACACTTATTTCCAGTGGATAAAAAAATACAATAATGCCAGAAGCATAATGACAAGATTAAATTCTTACAAACAAAAGCTAAAGACCAAATTACATTTGTTTTTAAACTAACTGATAACACTCAACTATGCCAACCCCAAATAAGAAAAATCCCAAAATTTAGCACTTTCCAAATAAATTCTCCAACGACTATTTGAAGGGAATTTAAGATTAGGCAAAGAGAGTACCCTTGAGACAAGATCATCAGCAAGGGCCAGGTGGGTTTTGCAAAATTTGCACCTATATGTTCTGCCTTCCAGATCTACCACGAATATCCTCCCCATCTCGATTATCAGTTCAGACTCCACTGAGAAAGACGCGTCAGAGAAATGAGAATCGGCCTGTTTACAAGTTACAATGATAGCAACAAGTTCATGAGCCCCACTACCCCAGCAAACAGAAGGAGACAATTGTAAGAGTTTGGCAAAAAGATTGATAAGGAAGAGTCTGGGATAATCCAAAAGCCACCGCACAAACACGGGCTACACGATCTTGTATCGCATGAATGAACCTCTTTTGTTGACTAATTTCCAGTTCAGTTTCAGCTTACTACACTAGTCATTAGTCGTAGGAAATATGTGGATTTCATTTTATTCATATCCCGGGATTTTGTAAAATATGGGCTTTCTAAACTGGCACTCTGAATTGCATTTATACTGAACCCAATAAAGGTTAATGGAGTGGAAGATGATGACCTTTTTTCGGTGGGCTTTCTTAGCCATTGAAGTTCAACCGAAATTAGACCAAAGGCACCCTACGATTGGGATATGTAAAAAGGAAAATCAAAACTCCCAAAAGCGAAAACCTATTAAGATATGTATTCCTCTGTTTCAGAATTATTGTCCAGTTTGATATTTCACTTTTAGTACAACTAGTATTATGCCCGCACGTTCTGCAGATTTTATTATATTTTAGAGTAACATTAATATATTATTATTTTCCTATAAAAAATTTCATATGTTTTATTTTTTCTATTTTTTGGTATAGTAAGCACTCGGAATCCGAAATCAAGAGTGCCATATGTTTTTTTCCTTCCGTTTTTTTGTATATAGCGCATCCGGTGTTCGAAGTCATTGTTCCAACTAATCCGTCTTCGAATCGGGTCGGTCTCTTTCAGAAGACAAACCTCTCCCAACAATCATTACTACATGCACATGCTCATATTTAATTATAGATCGTAACTAACTTGGTCAAATAATTTTATCACTTTAATCAAGTACTTGTATGGATTTTTTAAAGTATAAATTAATATGTTCCAACTATCTAATATGCTTTTGTTAGGAGTGTTAGTATATCAAAAAAAATTAAATATGAATTAATATGATCAACTGTCTACTATGCTACTTGTTTAGGGATTTAAGTATATAAAAGTTATTTTCAACAATAGAAATTAAATTATGTATATTCTAAAATATATTGACTGAAACGCATATATTGTTTACTTGTAGTAATTGAATCAATATTATAAATAATCTTTTTTAGGCATAAAGCAAAATGGAAAAAAGAAAATTCCAATGAAAATAAACAAAAAGGGGGGGAAACTTAAAAAAAAAAAATCATTTCGAAATACATATCTATGTTCGTCAAACTTTTTCATTAGTTATGAGTACTTTTCGAGGTACTTATTTCAATTTTCTGCCATCATGGTGCCACACTTCTCTTGTAAAACTAAAACACATAGATAATCATGCACTTAAAGTAAATATGTTTAACTATTGATATCTCAAATAAAGTATATATTTACCTTGAGACTCTAGAGCATGAGGAATTTTGTTTTAGTCTATCTGGCTCCTTTAGAGCAAGATTGAGAATAACTATTTTTAAGCTCAACACATTGAAATTTAATAATAGCAACGGTGCAAAAGCATACCAAAATGAGGCCCTCGTGATTGTTTAAAAATAAAACTGCCCATACTTATAAATATTTGCCAATGACATACACTAGAAATAATCCTTAACATGAAAAATGTAATACATGTTTAAAAACTAATGCCTCCCTATAGAAAAGAAAAGGTATGTCAGTAGTACCAAATTTTTTCTTATACTGTCAAATCTTAATATGCAAGAAAAAAAAATAATGAGTTAACAGTTCAAAACAAAGGGAAAAAATCATGTAGAGTTTTTTTCCATTGATGAACCTTTTACAATTAACGACCATACTTCTCATTGTTGATAAAAGATCAAATGGAAGGTTCTCCACAAGTATCCACACTGGAATAAGTTAACGAACCTTCAGTCAACACCGGCAAAATTAAGAAATCAAGCGAAATTCTAACAATCACTCTAAACATTGAGTTAATAATATTAAAAGTATAACTTACCATGTCAATCGAAATCCATCACACTCTCTTTTTGACCAACAAATGAAAAAATCCATCTAAAATTACAACCCAACAGAGAGAGAGGTCAGTGTATACCTTTCAAACAAAAAAAGAAAATTCAGATGTAAGGAGAAGAGGGAAGGAGAAGAGATAGAGGACGAAGGGGAAGGAAAAGAGAGGAGAGAATTAGAACGTAACCTCTTTATTATTTTTTTAGTGACTAATCTTCTTTTATTTTTGAAAAATATGTCATATGGAATTATGTAAAAAATAATATTAACTTACGTTTAACGTATCCATATCTGGTTTTAAATTGTATTTTAAGCAAAATTATTTGGTACTTATCTCTTTTTATTGTTGGTAATCCAAATCTTTTTGTTTTTGAAAAAAAATCAAATGGAATCATCTAAAAAAAATTAATAATAACATACATTTAATGTGTTCGGACTTAGTTTCAAATTGTATTCATAACATAATAATTTGATAACTAAATCTCTTTTATTTTTGATAACTAATCTTCTTTTTTTTTTTTGAAAAATATATCAAATGAAATCATCTGAGAGATGATATTAACCTACGTTTAATGTATCTAGATTTGGTTCGAATTATATTCATAATATAATATTTGGTAAGTAATCTCTTTTTGCTTTTGAAAAATATCTCAAATGGAATCATGAAAAATAATATTAATTCACGTTTAATGTATATGGACTTGGTTCCAATTGTATACGTAGTATAATTATTTGCTAACTAATCTCTTTTTATTTTTTGTAACCAAACTCTTTTTATTTTTGAAAAATATACGAGATGGAATTATTTGAAAAATAATATTAGCATATGTTTAATGTATCTAGACTTGATTTCAAATTATTTGAAAAATAATATTAGAATATGTTTAATGTATTCATAATATAACGATTTGGTAAGTAATCTTTATATTGTTGGTTTGCTAAAGTAATGATGAATCTCATCCAATGCTATCTTCTTTGCATGATCATTTTTAAGTTGAAAAATGTAATACCCCTCATTCTTTCTCAGAATCTTTTCAACACCCAATTTACCCCAAATCCTATGAATAAACTTAGCCATTATCTGGTACGACAAATTTACTCCCAGCAAGAAATAAACAACTAAATTTCGCCAGTAATCTACTTCAGGCTTTACATCTGTAGGCGTAATACGAGCAACATGTTCATCTTCAATTATTTCTGGTTCTACATAATCCAATTCAGCTTTCAATAAATTCAGCTTACCCATATCAAACTCTGCCCAACCCTCGTCCAAACCCTTCCCAAACCCTTCCATAGAACACTTACTAGTTTCCACACATTTACTCTTTAACAATTCACAATTCTTCTCAGGACTATTGATAATCAAATGCATCGAAGCAGGAGTACTTATCAATTTAATGCCAGAAACCTTACTTGCACAGTGCGAATCAACCCCCATCAAATCCTTCTTCACACTTTCATATCTCCTCTCTACCATATCAACATCGTCTTCCCTAGATCTGCTTTCCCTTGATTCATCGATGTCCCTAGAATGTTTCCTTGAATAGCCCTCTCATTCCCGCTTGCTTTCGTTGGTTCATTCGTCAGACCAGCCCCTCTACCTCTTCCTCTAGCCATGTCCGACGTACGTTTTAGATCATACGTCAAGAGAGAGAAGAGAGGATGTGTGATGTCAGCATTTTATAGAGATTAGAAGATTCACTATATTTATAAGAGATGAGTTTGTTGTGTATATTGGTGGAGAGTTGAAATATTGGAGCTCAAGTACACTGAGTAAACTATTGAGCTTGATTGGTAAACTGAAAAGAATGGATGACATGACGTGCAAGAAACTTCGAGCTATATTTGCAAGAGTGCTGGTCAAGATGGAGATTAAGGAGACCATTCCTGAAATGATTAAGTTCGTGGATGAGAATGGAAGAGTATAGGAACAGAAGGTGCATTATGAATGGCGATCGGTCTTATGCTCTCAGTGCAAAGGGTATGGACACCTAAAAAAGGAGTGTAAGGTCCCAGTGATCCCCCGGTGGAAGATGAAGCAACCTGATATTATCTCTGTTGAGGAGAAGGAAGAGATGACAGGTGTGGAAAATACTCTAAAGAAATGTGAGGGGCATCAAAATTTATGAGTAATCTCCTTATTTGGAACACTAGAGGGTTTAATAATCCCCTAAAAAACCAAGAAGTGGGCAGTATGATTAGGAATTATAAAGTGGGATTAGTAGGTGTTGTTGAAACAAAGTTAACAAAGGAGAAGTGCAAGGAAATGATGATGAGGTGGTGGAAAGGGTTTGAATGGATGGAGAATAGTAAGTTAAATCAGAAAGGCAGCATATTGGTGTGTTGGAGGAAAGGGGATTATAAAGTCGATTGTCCGGTTGTGTCGGATCAGTTCTTGCATTGTAAGGTTTTTGATATGGTAGAGAGAAAGGAGTTTATAATGACAGTGGTTTATGCTATGAACTCACAGGGAAAGCAATGGGAGCTATGGTTTGAACTAATTAATTTACCGCCGTCTAACCTGCAATGGATTGTGGGGGAAAACTTTAATTGTATTATAAATAGTGAGGAGAAGCTTGGAGGAAATCAGTTTAAACAGCAGGAGATGGATTGACAATTTCCATTTACAGGAGCTTAAATCGCAAGGTGGTAAATTTACTTGGTCCAATAAGCAATTAGGGATAAATAGAATATATTGCAAGCTGGACAGAATACTGGTGTCTGATGAGTGGATGATAGAATATAGCGAATCATTTGTGGCAGTGGGACAAGAGGGCATATCAGACCACTGCCCTCTGATCTTACAATGGAGCCATATGGAAGCAAAGAATAAGAGGCCCTTCAAATTTTTTAATGTGTGGATTGAAGACAGAGAGTTTAAAGGAAAAGTTGAAGGAGGTATGAAATCGGGAGATCAAAGGAACCAAGCAATTCCAACTTGTATCGAAACTCAGGATGCTAAAAGGTCCTTTAAAGGAGTTGAATAGAAAGAGCTTTAGTGATATTAAAGGGAGGTATGTTGAAGTGCAACAGAGATTAAG